AGAGACCATCAAACTGAAATGCAAGGGTTATGACCTAGGGAGAACATACTTTCCTCTACTGTAATCTTTGCAGGAAACCTGGACTGTTGTTCCAGTTCTTGCAAAGAATGCTGTTGGTCTCTTAATGGTCACTGTTGATCAGTGAGATTATAAAGGTTGATAAACCCTCACTCAGTGGTTGTAATACACCAGTTCAAGACTTCTCTTTTTCAGATCTTCAGCATGAGATTTGATGTGAAAGACAGAGCTTCCACTTCCTGGCATGCCCTGTATCACAGAGAACTCTAGTCAAAGTGTCACACTGCATGCTGGGCTACCCACAGCAGCACAGACTTCTCTTAAGCAAGCTTTGATTTGGTCTAGTCTCACAGAGCTTGTGAATCTGACAAGGTCAAAACCTGAGATGTCATGAAGATATTGTGGGTCATACGTACAAAGTTCACAGGGTGTCTGCAGGGGAAAAAAAAAAATCACACATGAATCACCTACTTCTCAGAAGCAATTACAGAAGGAGAAGCCTTATCTGTATGCCAAGTATTTTTTCTTATAGTTTGAGAGAAGTTCCACAAAATAACATATGTGGGGAGATGTATATGCCAGCTCTAACTGTGGTGACGTACAACTAGGGGTACAAAACTTCCACTGGTAAAATAACTCCACATACAAAGATGGGTGATGAGCACCAAATAACTGAAAGCTGGACTCATGGTTATTTGTAAACAGAGGATCCCAGCAGGGCTCACCAAAAAAACCCCCATAGTTTTGTATTATTAGAAGACACAGTGGAATCCTGCAAGCACAGTTACAATCAATAGCTGTGCACAGACATCCCCAACATGCTTTTAAGTTGCACCAATTTTTCATTTTCATCTCTACTGAAATTCATTAAAATACTCTTCTCTGAGAAACTTGTTACTCCAACATGCTTAAGAGTCCAGTCTTTGTTCCAGCTTAAATAAGACAACAGGGAATAGCTGACAATTCTTCTACATCAAGGCTTAAAGATGATTTACTTCTGATTTTAAGCAAGAAACCAGCACCTGCTCTATAGCATTGAACCTCCCTTACTCCTCTTTTTCAGCTTCTTGTCCCATGACAGCTGGAATTACAGGACCTTCTCTCCCACCAAGCTGCACGACCCTTCCTCCAAAGCCATACCTGTCAATAAGAAGGGGCTCTAAGTCACAAGGAACACCTCCACCTCTTTCCACAGTGTCGCTGCTGTACTACCTTTCTCTAGCCCTGGATCCCTACCAGTTATTTATAGAGAGGGTAGCCATCCTTTTAATAGAATAAGAAGGGAAACACTGAGGACCCACTACTGGGTCTTGCTGTGTGATGCCAACAGACAGATCCATCTGTTCCACCTCCCAGTCTCTTCCTAGTGTTTACTTCTTTGCTGCCCCATGGCTGCGTGGTTTCACTTGTCTTGCAAGTCACTCCACAGGTGTCTAGTCCTCAGCAGCAAAAGCAGACTGGGGAGAAAGCAGAAATAAGGGCAGTGGGGTGGATAAAAGGGAAAAAAGCCAGAGGGAGGGAGAAAGGCCCCGGAGAAAAAACAAAGGATGAAGGGAGCAACAGAGCGGGTAGGAATAACAACCAGGAGGATGCAAGAGAGAAGAACAACAGACAGCAAGAGGGGCAGGAAGATGGAAGAGAAACTGAGACAGCAGACAGGAAAGACAGAAGCAAACAGGAGAAGCCAGAAAGGTTCAGGAGGACCATGGACAGACCATGATGTAGAAAGATAAAGAAAATGAGAACTTGGAGAGTGGCATAAACAAAGTCTATCTTGGAAGACAGAAATCGCTTCAGTAGCCAAAGTGAGCTTCCTCATCAGTTTATTCAGGTCAATCAAGATGGGAAATGAAAAAGCTTTTTCTCTTGAGTAAAGGAGGAGCAAAGAAACAAACATAGAGGGAACTGTGCTCACTCTTTTTCCTTTGGAAGACCTCCATTCTGCTTCATGGAGCTGCTGTTGGCACTGGGATCTAAAGTGAATACACCTTCTGCCCATGCATCTCTCCTCCCTCTCACACTGAGATCCAGCTGAAGATCTTGCTTTGTCTTTGGAATACAAGTGTCTTTGAAAAAGGTGTATTTATTTTCTTTTGAACATGAGGCACTTCGTTCCTGCACAGTAATAATAACTCATTGCAGAACGTAGCTATAGGTCATTGTGCATTCTTGTTACACCTTTCCCAAACGAACTCTTGGAATTTACCACTACCATTATTACCATTAACTTACAAGTACCACAACAGCTCTTGAAATATCAAAATGAAGTTTCTGACTTAAAAACAACCAAACAAAAAAATCAAACAAACAAAAAATGCCCACAAAACACCAAAAAAGCCAAAACAAATAGTGATTCCCAATGTCTGGTCACACATTGCCACCTACCGGCTCCCATCCCTGTACCCTCGACAGCACTAAGGTGGTTTGCATCAAGAAACGGGCTGTAAAGCACAGAGGAAGAGCAGCAGGAGGGCACAGGTTGGTATTTGAACCATCACACGTGTTATGCAGACAGTGTATATTGTACCCCAGCATAGCCTATGCACAAGCAAACATGTCCACCAGCCTAGATTTTATAGCTCTGAAACAGCAATCAGATCTCATCGACCTCCTCCCATGTGTCTCTGTTCATCCCTGAATGAGTGAAGGACACAGGTCACCCCTGTGCCACCCTAGGAGAGAAAGCCCTGGGGCAGGGGAGGTACAATGGCAGCGTGTACCCTGCCACCCAGCATGTCCTGGCACACGCGGCAGGCTCCTGCCGCAGCAAGACAAGAGCGAGGCATTTAATGCTGGGGAAGAAAGTCAGTGAACAGAGTACACATCCCTCAGGAGCTGTGCCCATGGGACTACACAAACCAGGGGGACACAGAGGGCTGGGTGGGCAACTCACTCACCTACTGCGCTCTTCACAGACTGCCTGCTAACCTCACTGCAGAGGCTGCGCTTCGCTTCTTTCACACGCTTGAAGTTGAAACAGGAGAGCATTGTTTATGTCCCCCTGTAGTGAGGGGCTAATCCTACAAAAAAATGGCACCTCTACATATTTGCCTCAAAACCAAACCCCAGTGCATTCAAATCCACTGCAAGTATTTCTAATGTAAAGTTTAATATAAGATAAAAAGTCTCACTAGGTCACAGCATCTGCTTCACTATTCACACGATGACACCATTAATGAGCTGCACCAGTGAGTGGGAAAGCTAGTAACAAAAAAAAGGGCCATCAGAAAACCACAGAAATCATACTTACAAAACAAGTGCAGTCACCTCTTACACCTGCATCCATCCTGTCACATAGCTGGCACACCTAGGCACTACCTCGGCGGCTTTGATAACCACACGTAAAACCTGGCCTTAGGAGGGAAGGACGGAAGCGTGGTGAAATCTCAGGAACACTGAAATCAGGTCAGACTTGCTGTTGATCCAACAGGATATGGATACTTTCATAATGATAATTTAGATAGCAAAGAGAAATAGAAAGTTTCAGACTGGTCCAGACTACTGCTGGTCTCATATTCTATCTTGCCTCAAATGTCTGCCGAACAGCTTTTATGCACTAGGAGGGATGGAACTGTAAAGGACATGATCCCCAAGTGTCTGAGAAATGTTATCACAGTATTCCCAACTCATGACCAGAGTTCCAGACCATTAACAGCTATGCCATCTGCACCATGTGCCAGAGCACTCAAAAAAACCCTGGGGATGTTCTGGTAAGGTTTCTTACAGTGTGTTAAACTATAGGGAGGAAGCGTATGAAGGAAGATTTAACTTTGAGTCATTCATAAAGAATTAGCTGGAACACAGATATCCATAAATGGTCCTCCCACTCATTAACTCAGAATACACTTTCTATAACTATTCTGACCTACCATGAACTTCCCAGAAAGAGAAAGCAATATATTTACCCTCAACGATTCTCAGATTTTCAAAGCCAATCATGACTGAAAGCAATGTAAAAGTTGCTAGCATCTTCCCATTTTCCAGATTTGCCTATTTAGGCTCTGGAGGTATACAAAGCCTTACAAATCACTTATTAGAAAAACAATACACCCCCACAGCCAAGCCAAAACCACCTCAGCCTTTCAGCCCACGCATTACAAATACTTAATTAGCCCAAACAGCTAGCATCAATAATGAGCCACCAATAATTACACAGAGACGCCACACTGGGCATACCTAGGCAGGAAACATCCATTTAAAGTAACAAGCATGACTTTTCCTAGCCCTTCATCCTCTCTAGGGATTGGCAAGGTAACCAATGCAGGTATCTGAAAACCAGTCAGTTGGAAGGCAACTTGAGAGGAGAGCATGGTTCTGCTCCACCTTTATTGTTTATATCCTTATCCTTTGTAATCCAGGAGAATGCTGTGTGTTTTGCAGTCTGGTGTGGGAAGGCTCAAAATTACCAGCACCTCGATTATCTGTTGGATAACTCCAGTGATGCCAGAGTATATTCATGCTCCGGAAAGGAAAGCATGTCTAGGAAAAAGTCACACCAGGAGAGGAAGAGGTTGTGCAGACAACACAAAACAGGACAGCAGCAAGAGCTACTAGCTTAACATTGACACTGGCTTCCCTGACCCAAGTCCCAGCAGATTGCTCACCACACAGTGCAGCTCAGCCCTACGAAGCTTTATGCGTTTATTTTCAGTTTTGCTTTTGACCAAAGAAAGTTCAATTAAGTAATACAGGAATGAACTCTAGTAAACCACGTACTCATTTCGCAGGATATCACTCAAAAACCCCATAAGCACCGAGTCCCTGAAATTTTTTTCTTGTATAGAGCAAACCTAGAGTTGTTTTCCGAAAGCTGGCAGCATTTCAACCAGTTCAAAACTTACAGAAGAGAAAGGCAGTAAATCCAGTTCCTGTCCTCTCCTGTATGAAATCACACAAAGCTATATTTAAATCATAAACTAATACGGAATAGTTAATATGAGGTTACATAATCCTAGGAAAAAAAAGGAAGGGCACGTACATACCTCAAGAGGTACCAGCATCGCAATAATCCGACCAGAAAAGCTCTCTGGCAGCCCAGGAAGTGGACTGTTTCCGGAACCAAAGGGCTGACAGGAATCACAACCATCAAGATGCAATAAATAGCAGGATTGCACAACTACGGCTTTTCCAAAAGGCAGCAAAGTGCTTTTGTATGAGCACACACGCCCAGCCCTGCCTGCTGCAGGAAAGGCATTCTGCTAAGGGAGAAACATGGAAGAATCTGCTTTCCTTTTCTGCTTTTCAGTTTGACTTCTTGTAAAACATAGTCAAACCCTTTTTTTTTCAGATGTAAGGGGAGAAGGCCATATGATGCAGACGTATTAGCCAGTGTACATATAAAAGCCGTTCTACAAGAACTACAAAGGAATTTATCAACCCTTGAGTAATTTACCTGTTTGTTGCATAAATAAAATGAACCCACAAATTAAAAATAGTTTCTGTGAACCAATGCAGTATTTCACTGCCCGTGGCAAAGCAATCAAACCTATAGTATGTATCAACACCTTGCTAGTCAAAACATTGTACAAGCACAGGTGAGGGCAGACACCGAGTAGCTAGGATTCAAACCGAGATGAAACAGGTTTGGTTTTTTTTTTTCTGCACTCTGTCTCTCGTTCTGTGCTTGAGAGTAATCTTGCTTAGTAAGAAAAATGAAGCAGCTGAATGTGAGAGAATTGCTCATTGTTTTTCCTACCAGATGGCAGGGCTGCCTCAGGATTTCTAGTAAAATGGAAAGTTTTCAGCTCAGCTTAGATCATCAGCCAAGAAAAGATTAGTTTTTTTTCCCAAAGGCAGTGCAATGAAGCTGAACCACTGTTGCTTAAAGCAAATAACCAAATATTTGAAAATACTCAATTTAAGAACATCATCAGTCAACTGTTATTATGTGCTGCTTGCTAAAGCATTTTACTCTTCAAAGGAGAGGGGAGTGAAACTGAATTTGTCTGAAAACTGAGCCCTGCAAACTCTGGATCGCATCCTTGGCATTGCTGCGACTACCGCTTTGAGCAAGTTACTCACGAGCACAAGATTTTCAGATAAAGCCCCAGACAGAGCTGAGGCTAATTTTTAATTCTGGTTTCTTCGCTACAATAAAAGGAGACCTGGGTATACTTCTCAGCGAACCAACCCAGGTTGAGGCAAGCCGGCCCAGGCAGCGCCGGCACCTCCCGCCCCAGCGCGGCCGCTGCTCCCGCCTTCCCGCCCCGCCAGCCCCCGCCCCGCTGACGGCAGGGCCGGG